TCTGTTTCTACACAGGAAGTCGGACAACAAGGTCCCAGAGATGACGTTAGAGCGAGCCGTGAACCTGCTGACACAGGACAACGAGGAAACACTCGTATGTGCAGCGGGTCACATTCAGAACCAGTGTTTCAAGAGCATCGAAGCTAAGAAGATGGTATGTTGTACAGCTTAGAGAGTCGATTGACTGTGATCTGGAGGAAATGTTATGTTTCTTTACGTGAGCTCATAGTCATTCTTCCTTCTCTGGTGTCCAGGTGTACTATCTACGGGGCATCGGGAAACTCCTGCAGCTTCTGCACATCGACAACGAGGAGGTGCAGCGAGTGGCAGCAGGAGCGCTACGCAACGTTGTGTACCAGAACAGCGAAAACAAGATGGAGGTGAAGGAGAACGACGGCATAGCCTTGATCCTGAGCGCACTGAAAAGCAGTCGAGACGTGGAGACCAGGCGACAACTCACAGGTCGGTGTTCTCTAACCGTGTTCTGTGTCTCGAGAGGATTTGACAAACAGTACACTATAGTTTTTTTCCTTTCTCTCAGGTCTTTTGTGGAACCTCTCTTCCCATGATCTTCTGAAGGAGCGTCTGTCCAGAGAATCCTTATTCGTCCTCACTAAGTACGTCCTTGTGCCAAGTTCGGGCATTTCAGAAGGCGAGAACCCAAAAGATGAGCTTCTGGCTGACGATGAGGTTTTTCACAACGCCACAGGCTGCCTGAGGTACACTCTCCTTTGTTAGCTCTGAAACTGGAAACGCTGAGTGCTTTTGGAGTAAACTGACACCCAGTACTGGAGGCAGACGTTCAGCGAATGCCTTAAAAACACAAAAAAATTCCTTTTGATAAATCACTAAAGTCAGGTCTGAAGTGGAAACTAGTCGTTCAGGGGCCACATATGGAGAAGCAGATGGATTGGAAGTTAGAAGTTAGAGACCTCAGTTGGGGAGTGCGAAGGTAAAGGGGTAGTAAATTGATGATATTACAGAGAGTGAAACTTGGCAGGAGGCAGATCTGCTCCCACACTGTCTCACTGCGACCGTGTGTGCCAAAGAGTTATGAGTAAACAGTCTCTCATCGCAGCATAACCTGATATCAGCCCTCAGAAATCTGCTGAAATCCAAAACGCTGACTGTAGATCTGTGAGGACTATCAAAAACCATCAAGGTTCCTGATGAAAAACTTCACTGAATTTGTTCTAGCAGCTGTCAGCAAGGATGATGGATTAAAGAAAAATCTGGTTCATTTTAGGCAGCACCCGCAGGTCAAAAACGCCAAAATCTTTTCACTTTGACCAAGTCAGCACAGGGAAAATAATCTTCATACTCCTTAAAACCATAAGTCACCACTGACTGTTGTGACTATAGGGAAGAGAGTTAATGTCTTACTGGGAGCTCATTTAATAAAGTCCCACCATCTGGGAAGGATATTACTATATTTCATGGCTGTACTTTCTAAGTCCAATTTATTACATTACAGGTAGTTTGAGCCACTTTAAGCCAACTTTTACTTCAAGTATGTTCTCTTCAGTCTTGTGACTCATCTCTTGCAATTTTTTTGCTGAGTGCCAGGCCTAATATTACTACGTACTCTATATATATA